GCAGCACCAGTCTGGAACCCACACCTGGTCAAGCACGTCAAGAAGTTAGAGAAAGTACAAAGGTTTGCAACAAGGCTAGTCCCAGAGCTCAGGGGAATGTCGTACGAGGAAAGGTTGAGGGAAATTGGACTGACGACAATGGAGGACAGAAGGGTCAGGGAAGACATGATAACGACATACAAGATACTGCGGGGAATAGACAAGGTGGACAGAGATAGGATGTTCCAGAGAGGGGACACAGGAACAAGGGGTCACAACTGGAAGCTGAAGACTCAGACGAGTCACAGGGACGTTAGGAAGTATTTCTTCAGTCATAGAGTCGTCAGGAAGTGGAATAGCCTAGCAAGTGAAGTAGTGGAGGCAGGAACCATACATAGTTTTAAGAAGAGGTATGATAAAGCTCAGGAAGCAGAGAGAGAGAGAGAGGACCTAGTAGCGATCAGTGAAGAGGCGGGGCCAGGAGCTGAGCCTCGACCCCTGCAACCACAATTAGGTGAGTACACACACACACACACACACACACACACACACACACACACACATACACACACACTAGTAGCGACCAGTGAAGAGGCAGGGCCAGGACCTGTGACCCAGCCCCTGCAACCACTAATAGGTGAATACACACACACACACACACACACACGCACACAAACATAAATGTGAGGAGCAGCATGAAAGAATTAAGGAGATGTCCCCAGATGTCATAGCACTCACAGAAATGAAACTCGCTGGGATAATAACACATGTAATCTTCCCACCCGAATATCAGATCCTGAGGAAAGATAGAGGGAGCAGAGGCAAAGGAGTTGCACTGTTCATTAAAAACCGATGGGGATTTGAGGAAATGGAAGGAATGGATGAAATGGGCAAAAGGGACTACATAGTAGGTATAATTCAGTCTGTGGGACATAAGGTAGTCATTGCAGTGATGCACAATCTGCCACAGAACTGCAGGAGGCCAAGAGGAGAATATAAAGAGAGCAACAGAGCAATGTTGGACACACTAGCTGAGGTGGCCAGAAGAGCTCACATGGGTAGAGCAAAATTACTAGTTATGGGTGATTTCGATCACAAGGAGATTGATTGGGAAAACCTGGAGCCACATGGGGGTCCCAAAACATGGAGAGCCAAGATAATGGATGTGGTACTAGAAAATTCCATGCATCAACATATTATGGACACTATCAGAGAGAGAGAGAGAGGTGAGGATGATCCAGCAAGACTGGACCTCATATTCACTCTGAGTAGCTCGGACATTGAGGACATCACATATGATAGGCCGCTTGGAGCTAGTGATCACGTGGTAGATCACATAGTAGATCACATAGTAGATCACGTGGTAGATCACATAGTAGAGTTACAGGTGGAGAGGGTAACATGAGTAGGATGGGAAAAGCCAAACTACAAAAGGGGAACTACACAGGCATGGGGAACTTCCTGCAGGCGGTTCAGTGGGAAAGAAAATTGGTAGGGAAATCGGTAAATGAAATTAACTACTTACCATCAAAATGCAAGGAGGCAGAGGACAAGTTTGTTCCCATGGGCAACAGATATAATGAGAAGACCAGAACGAGCCCTTGGTTTACCCAAAGGTGTAGGCAGGGAAAAACTAAGTGTGCTAGAGAATGGATAAGTACAGAAGACAAAGGACCCAGGAAAATAAAGAGAAAAGTCGAAGAGCCAGAAACAAATATGCACAGATAAGGAGGGAGGCCCAGCAACATACGAAACGTTATAGCATCAAAAGTCAAATCTGACCCGAAGCTGTTGTATAGCCACATCAGGAGGAAGACAATAGTCAAGGCTGAGGAAGGAAGGTGGGGGCTCACAAGAAATGACCAAGAAGTATGTGAGGAGTTCGACACGAGATTTAAGGAAGTATTTACTGTGGAGACAGGAAGGACTCCGGGAAGTCAGAACAGGAATGTACACCAATAAGGGATATACCAACAAATGTTGTTGAAATACACACAACCAAGGAGGTGAAGAAGCTGCTAAGTGAACTTGATACCTCAAAGGCGGTGGGACCGGACATCTCTCTGTGGGTCTTAAGAGAGGGAGCAGAGATGCTGTGTGTGGGCGCCTGTGATGAGTGGGGTTCCACAGGATTCAGTCCTAGGACCCATGCTATTTTTGGTATATGTGAATGACATGACGGAAGGGATAAACTCAAAAGTGTGTCTGTTTGCAGATGATGTGAAGATAATGAGGTGAATTAAATCGGATGAGGATCAGGCAGGACTACAAGGAGACCTGGACAGGCTGGAAGCCTGGCTCCTCGAATTTTACCCTGCCAAATGCAAAGTCGTGACGATCGGGGAAGGGCAAAGACCCCATACAGAGTATAGGCTAGGTATCGTTCTGATACCTCAGTAAGGAATCGTTCAAAACTCTGTACACCTTGTACGTCAGGCCCAAACTGGAGTATGCAGCACTAGTTTGAAACCCACACCTGGTCAAGCACATCAATAAATTAGAGAAAGTGCAAAGATTTGTAACAAAACTAGCTCCAGAGCTACGAAAAAAAGTTAAGGGAAATTGGCTTGACAACAATGGAGGACAGGAGGGTTAGGGGAGACATGATAACGACATCCAAAATACTGCGAGGAATTGACAAGGTGGACAGAGAGAGAATGTTCCAGAGAGGGGACACAGAAACAGGGGTCACAATTGGAAGTTGACGACTCATATGTGTCAAAGGGATGTTAAGAAGTATTTCTTTAGCCATAGAGTTGTCAGGAAGTGGAACAGTCTGGCAAGTGACGTAGTGGAGGTAGGAACCATGCATGGTTTTAACTTCAAACGAGGTTTGATAAAACTCATGGAGCAGGGAGAGAGAGAACCTAGAAGCGATCAGTGAAGAGGCGCGGATAGGAGCTATGAATCGACCCCTGCAACCACAAGTAGGTGAGTACACACATACGCGTCAAGAAATTAGAGAAAGTGCAAAGGTTTGCAACAAGACTAGTCCCAGAGCTACGGGGATTGTCCTACGAAGAAAGGTTGAGGGAAATCGGCCTGACGACACTGGAGGCCAGGAGGGCCAGGGGAGACATGATAACGACATATAAAATACTGCGCGGAATAGATGAGGTGGACAAAGACGGGATGTTCCAGAGATGGGACACAGACACAAGAGGTCACAATTGGAAGTTGAAGACTCAAATGAATCAAAGGGATGTTAGGAAGTATTTCTTCAGTCATAGAGTAGTCAAGCCGTGGAATAGCCTAGAAAGTGAAGTAGTGGAGGCGGGAACCATGCATAGTTTTAAGGCGAGGTATGACAAAGCTCATGGAGCAGGGAGATAGAGGACCTAGTAGCAATCAGTGAAGAGGCGGGGCCAGGAGCTATGACTCGACCCCTGCAACCACAAATAGGTGAATACACACACACACACACACACACACACACACACACAAATGAGATGAAGAAACTAGGTGAACTAAATACCTCTACGGCGGTGGGTCCAGATAACATCTCTCCTTGGGTGCTGAGAGAGGGAGCAGAGGCAGTGTGTTTACCGCTAACAATAATCTTCAACAAATCTATTAAACTAGGCAAATGAAGTCCCAATTTTTAAGAAAGACAGACAGGCAGAATTAAACCACAGACCAGTGTCACTGACATGTATAATATGTAAAATCACGGAGAAGATTATCAGAAGAGTAGTGGAGCACCTAGGAAAGGAGTGGGCTCATACATGACAACCAGCACAGCTTCAGGGATGGGAAATTCTGTGTCACTAACCTACTAGAGTTCTGCGACAAGGTAACAAGTAAAACAGGAAAGAGAGGGATGGGTAGACTGCATTTTTTTGGACTGTAAGAGGGCTTTCAACACAGTACCGTACAAGAGACTGGTACAAAAGCTAGATGAGCAGGTAGGAATAGCAGGAAAAGCACTGCGTTGGATCAGGGAATACGTAACAGGAAGGAAACGAGTGATGGTACGAGGCGAGGAGTCAGAGTGGGCGTATGTGTCGAGTGGGGTTCCACTCGACACATATATTGCAGAATATGGACACCTGGCAAACCTGTGAATAACATTTCGACATCTAAGATGTCATTCACGACATTGTACACCGTGTACCTCAGGCCCATATTGAAGTATGCAGCACCAGTACGGAACCTATACCTGGTCAAGCACATCGAGAAATTAAAGAAAGTGCAAAAGTTTGCAACAAGATTAGACTCGGTGCTAAGGGGTATGTCCTATGAGGAGAGGTTAAGGGAACTCAATTTGATGACACTAGATAACAGGAGGGACAGGGATGACGACATGATAACGACGTATAAAATACTTAGAGGAATTGACAAGAGCTAGAATGTTTCAGAGATGGGATACAGGAACAAGGGGACACAACTGAGAGTTGAAAACCCAAATGAGTTATAGGGATGTTGGAAGTATTTCCGCTCTATATGACCCTTGTAGGTTTAGCGTTTTTTTATTTTAATAATAAATAATGGAAGTATTTCTTCAGACTTAGAGTCGTCAGGAAGTGGAAAAATCTGAAGAGTAAAGTAGTGGAGGTACGATAAGGCTCTTGGAGCAGGGAGAGAGCAGACCTGGTAGCGACCAGCCAAGAGGCTAGGAGCTGCGACTCGACCCTTGTAACCACATATAGGTAAGTACTCTCTCTCTCCCTTCCTCTCCCCCTCTGGCAGTGGTGGAAACATTGGGCGTGTTTCCTTAAGACACCTACTGGCCCTGTTCACCTAGCAGTAAGTAGGTACCTGGATGTTAGTCGACTGGCGTTGGTCGCATACTGGGGGACAAGATTGAAGGGCTCCAATGGAAATCAGACTGACAGTCCTCGGACACGCTGACTTTACTGGGTCATCCTAGGTGGCTAACCTTGCCCTGGGTTAAAAATCCAGGCAGAGTAATCTGGCAACACTGACCAAGTTGCTAGGTTATGGGTCACGACTGAAGAAACAGTAAGCTTGTTGCTCCGGTAGGAGGCGCTGCTGTAGTGCTGAATGTATTGTTTTGTTTGTGTGTGAGGGGGAGGAGGGCTTTCTGTCTGCTGCTCGTGTGGCTTTCTGCCGGCTGCTCGTGTGGCTTTCTGCCGGCTGCTCGTGTGGCTTTCTGCGGCTGCTCGTGTGGCTTTCTGCCGGCTGCTCGTGTGGCTTTCTGCCGGCTGCTCGTGTGGCTTTCTGCCGGCTGCTCGTGTGGCTTTCTGCCGGCTGCTCGTGTGGCTTTCTGCCGGCTGCTCGTGTGGCTTTCTGCCAGCTGCTCGTGTGGCTGTGGATTTCTGCCGGCAGTTTGCAATAACACCTTAGTGTATATCGACGTTCCGTAAGTGGACGATGATGAGTGACTCCGAGAAGTAGTAGTAGAGACGGGAGAAGTATTATTATTATTATTATAATCAAGGGGGAAGCGCTAAACCCGGAGGATTATACAGCGCCTGGGGGGGGGATGTGGAAGGCATTCAGGCTTAATTCGGGGAACTGGAGCACAGATCCAATTCCCTAAATCAAGAGCCCCTCACCTTCCTTGATGTTGGAACCTTCAGGAGAGGGGGAGTAGTCTTCAGGTGCGCACCTTCAGGGGAGGGGGAGTAGTCTTCAGGTGCGCACCTTCAGGGGAGGGGGAAGTAGTCTTTAGGTGCGCACCTTCAGGGGGAGGGGGAGCAGTCTTCAGGTGCACACCTTCAGGGGAGGGGGGAGTAGTCTTCAGGTGCACACCTTCAGGGGGAGGGGGAAATAGTCTTCAGGTGCACACCTTCAGGAGAGGGGGGGAGTAGTCTTCAGGTGCACACCTTCAGGGAGGGGGAGTAGTCTTCAGGTGCCACCTTCAGGAGGGGGAAAGTAGTCTTCAGGTGCGCACCTCAGGGGAGGGGGAGTAGTCTTTCAGGTGCACACCTTCAGGGGAGGGGGAAGTAGTCTTCAGGTGCGCACCTTCAGGGGAAGGGGAGAAAAGTCTTCAGGTGCACACCTTCAGGGGAGGGGGAGTAGTTTTTCAGGTGCGCACCTTCAGGGGGAGGGGAAGAGTAGTCTTCAGGTGCGCACCTTCAGGGGAGGGGGAGGTAAGTCTTCAGGTGCGCACCTTCAGAGGAGGGGGAGTTAGTCTTCAGGTGCACACCTTCAGGGGAGGGGGGTAGTCTTCGGGTTTGCGCACCTTCGGGAGGAGAGGGAGTAGTCTTCAGGTGCGCCCCTTCAAGGGAGGGGGAGTAGCTTCAGGTGCGCACCTTCAGAGGAGAGGGAGTAGTCTTCAGGTGCGCACCTTCAAGGGAGGGGGAGTAGTCTTCAGGTGCGCACCTTCAGGGGAGGGGTAGTAGTCTTCAGGTGCCACCTTCAGGGGAGGGGGAGTAGTCTTCAGGTGCGCACCTCAGAGGAGAGGGAGTAGTTTATTCAGGTGCGCACCTTCAAGGGAGGGGAGTAGTCTTCAGGTGCGCACCTTCAAGGGAGGGGGAGTAGTCTTCAGGTGCACACCTTCAGGGGAGGGGGAGTAGTCTTCAGGTGCGCACCTTCAGGGGAGGGGGAGTAGTCTTCAGGTGCGCACCTTCAGGGGAGAGGGAGTAGTCTTCAGGTGCGCACCTTCAAGGGAGGGGAGTAGTCTTCAGGTGCGCACCTTCAAGGGAAGGGGAGTAGCCTTCAGGTGCACACCTTCAAGGGAAGGGGAGTAAAGTAGTCTTCAGGTGCACACCTTCAGGGGAGGGGGAGTAGTCTTCAGGTGCGCACCTTCAGGGGAGGGGGAGTAGTCTTCAGGTGCGCACCTTCAGGGGAGGGGGAGTAGTCTTCAGGTGCGCACCTTCAGGGAGGGGGAGAGTTAGTCTTCAGGTGCGCACCTTCAGGGGAGAGGGAGTAGTAGCTTAGGTGCACACCTTCAGGGGAGGGGAGTAGTCTTCATGTGCGCACCTTCAGAGAGGGGGAGTAGTCTTCAGGTGCGCACCTTCAGGGGAAGGGGGAGTAGTCTTCAGGTGCGCACTTCAGAGGGAGGGGGAGTAGTCTTCAGGTGCACACCTTCAGGGGAGGGGAGTAGTTCTTCAGGTGCGCACCTTCAGGGAGAGGGAGTAGTCTTCAGGTGCCACCTTCAGGGGAGGGGGAGTAGTCTTCAGGTGCGCACCTTCAGAGGAGAGGGAGTAGTCTTCAGGTGCGCACCTTCAAGGGAGGGGGAGTAGTCTTCAGGTGCGCACCTTCAAGGGAGGGGGAGTAGTCTTCAGGTGCGCACCTTCAGGGAGGGGAGTAGTCTTCAGGTGCACACCTTCAGGGAGGGGAGTAGTCTTCAGGTGCGCACCTTCAGGGAGAGGGGAGTAGTCTTCAGGTGCGCACCTTCAGGGAGGGGGAGGTATAGTCTTCAGGTGCCACCTTCAGGGAGGGGGAGAAGTCTTCAGGTGCGCACCTTCAGGGGAGGGGGGAAGTAGTCTTCAGGTGCGACACTTCAGGGAGGGGAGTAGTCTTCAGGTGCACACCTTCAGGGGAGGGGGAGTAGTCTTCAGGTGCACACTTCAAGGGGAGGGGAGTAGTCTTCAGGTGCCACTTCATGGGAGGGGGAGTAGTCTTCAGGTGCACACCTTCAGGAGAGGGGAAGTCTTCAGGTGCGCACCTTCAAGGGAGGGGGAGTAGTCTTCAGGTGCCACCTTCAGGGGAGGGGGAGTAGTCTTCAGGTGCGACACCTTCAGGGGAGGGGAGTAGTCTTCAGGTGCACACCTTCAGGAGAGGGGGAGTAGTTCTTCAGGTGCGCACTTTCAGGGAGGGGGAAGTAGTCTTCAGGTGCGCACCTTCAGGGAGGGGGAGTAGTCTTCAGGTGCACACCTTCAGGGGAGGGGGAGTAGTCTTCAGGTGCCACCTTCAGGGGAGGGGAGTAAGTCTTCAGGTGCCACCTTCAGGGGAGGGGGAGTAGTTTCATCAGGTGCACACCTTCAGGGGAGGGGGAGTAGTCTTCAGGTGCACACCTTCAGGGGAGGGGGAGTAGTCTTCAGGTGCACACCTTCAGGGGAGGGGGAGTAGTCTTCAGGTGCACACCTTCAGGGGAGGGGGAGTAGTCTTCAGGTGCACACCTTCAGGGGAGGGGGAGTAGTCTTCAGGTGCACACCTTCAGGGGAGAGGGAAAGTAGTCTTCAGGTGCACACCTTCAGGGAGGGGGGAGTAGTCTTCAGGTGCACACCTTCAGGGGAGGGGGAGTATAGTCTTCAGGTGCACACCTTCAGGGGAGGGGGAGGTAGTCTTCAGGTGCACACCTTCAGGGGAGGGGGAGTAGTCTTCAGGTGCACACCTTCAGGGGAGGGGGAGTAGTCTTCAGGTGCACACCCTCCCTATTATTATATAAACTTTGACCAGCAACAATTACACAATACTTTCTCAGGGAAGTGATCAGGACGTGTCTGAAAGTAGAATAAACCAAGTTTATTAACTATCATGATAAACACAGGAGTTTATAGGAAAACATAGGTAAGTAATTTTATTTACGTATACACAAGTACAGTTACAACATAGATTATCATACATAGCAGTATATGTGTACAGAACCCAAGATAACCCAAAAAAGTCAGTGACTTTTCATTGAGGTGGTTTGTCTCGTAATTCGGCAGTATACTACTATTCCTCTTATTATAATAAAAAACAGAAACGCTAAATCTACAAGGGTCATACAGCGCCTCTCCCTCTTTAATTTGTATGCTCTGAAAACTAAAGCCTGGCAAACCGGATAAGGCCGCAGGGGCGTTGACACCAATAACACTTTCAGGTAAACGTCCTGCTCGCCTCAGTTTTGGGTTGGTCGATCATTACGCTACCAGTTCTATCAGGGTAGGACGGTATGCCGGTCTGTATAGTACATTGGACACAGTTTCCAGTGCTTACGATAAGAATTCAGCCGCCTAAGAAGAGCCTTAGTGAAAAATAGAGAACACATCAGTGAAGCTTAATAAATTTGCTTTGAATTATTTGCGTCGTAAACAACGCATGAATTCCATTGGGACATGTATATAGTATATAGTGCACATTTAAAAATATAAATAAATATTTATATCTCTTGAAGGGGAACTACGAAGACTGGTTCGGCAATGCTGGTGATTGAGGCGATAGTTTATACATACGCGGTTGTGGTTCGCAGTCTTCTCAGTGATTAATTATTCATAACCGTTAGTGTTATATTTTCAAACTTCACATTCCTCCGATTTTCTTGATTATGTACCTATGCCTCGAGCGAAAAGTTACTCGTGGTGTCTAGAATATAACTCCTGATACCTCTCGAATTGTGTCCAGGCTCAGACTAGATCACACGCACGACCCCATGCGCGCATGTTGACAGTGAAGGGGAGCGGTCAATGGGTGGCTGCTGGACTTGATCCCACAAATGGGGTTGTTAGCAAGGAACTCAGGAGGAACAGAGGATACCCAGCGTCGTCTGGTTGTTCATGCATCGGCAAAAACAACGAGTCATATACGTATGTTTGTATATTAGTTTTTTTGCCAATCATGATTCCATGCAATCGCTATGCATACTGGCTTCCCTAACGCTACTTTGTATGCCAACTGCACATCAGTACCATTAACAGACCAAACCACGCAGAGGCACAGATGCTGGAAGGAGGGAGGGCCAGATACCGCTAAGAAAGTAAGGTTAGTCAAGGTTAAACTCGCCATGCCAGACGTCCTCTTACTCTTAGTTAGTTAGAGCGAGATTGCATTGGTTGCAGTATGTTGCTTGCTGGGGAGCATCAGTTGTGGCTCTGAGTGTGTTGGTTATGAACTATGTTGTTCACAGTGCGTGGTCGTCTTCAGAGGACTCTTGTGCTTGCAGAAACACGACAGACCAGGGGAAGTACCAGTTATTAGAAACACACTTTGTTACTAAGACAAGATGTGAATGCAGTAAGTTTTAGTTCGTAAGGTTTATAATTTGATATTTTTAAAGCCTGTCAACGTCATCTGAGTTTACTAAGGCTGAATATTCCATGTATACTAGGCTTAAATAATTTTTAATCTCATTTTACGAATTAAAGATTGACCCGGTATATAACACCTTACATTAAGTTCACTTTTTTTGTCATCCCAAATTAATTTATTTCAACTATACAAAGTTTTTAAACTTTATGTTTTAGAGTTTAATAAAGTTTCAGATTCCTATTATTTGCGTGAATATTTTTCTTTGCAAAGGGATAAGATTTTCTCATCTGGCATCGGATTTTATTTTTACTACAATCATAACAAAGCGCTAAACCCACAAGGGTCATACAGCGCTGCACATCAGATTTTAGTGGATTATGGAAGAATGATATGAAAATATTTATCGATTCGTATATTATGTTGCATTGTTGGGTATTGAATCAGGTATTGTATTAGGTATTGTATCAGGAACACTGTGGTTCTACGGGTTTAGCCTTTGTTTTGATTTCAAAAAATTTGGGTTATGCTTCAAGAGTGGATGTGAGGAAGTTAGAATAAGAGATGATTCAGCGGGGAGAAACACATGAAGTCTAGTGCTCCTAGGTGCTTCAGCGGGGAGAAACACACGAAGCCTAGTGCTCCTAGGTGCTTCAGCGGGGAGAAACACGAAGCCTAGTGCTCCTAGGTGCTTCAGCGGGGAGAAACACACGAAGCCTAGTGCTCCTAGGTGCTTCAGCGGGGAGAAACACACGAAGCCTAGTGCTCCTAGGTGCTTCAGCGGGGAGAAACACGAAGCCTAGTGCTCTTTGGTGCTTCAGCGGGGAGAAACACACGAAGCCTAGTGCTCCTAGGTGCTTCAGCGGGGAGAAACACGAAACCTAGTGCTCCTAGGTGCTTCAGCGGGGAGAAACACAAAGCCTAGTGCTCCTAGGTGCTTCAGAGGGGAGAAACACGAAACCTAGTGCTCCTAGGTGCTTCAGCGGGGAGAAACACAAAGTCTAGTGCTCCTAGGTGCTTCAGAGGGGAGAAACACGAAGCCTAGTGCTCCTAGGTGCTTCAGCGGGGAGAAACACGAATCAGTGCTTCTAGGTGCTTCAGCGGGGAAAAACACACGAATCCTTGTGCTTCTGGGTGCTTCAGCGGTGAGACACACACGAAGCCTAGTGCTTCTAAACTGTTAAAAATTACTGACAGCAGTTCGTGTGGACTCAGGGACGTGAGGGAGTTTAAATAATGTCTTCCTATTTGAGAACCAAGTCGCTAGTGATGGTAATCTTGCGTAATTCCTGTTAATTATCTCATCTAATTAGTAATTTAATAAGGATTTCATTTGCACTGTGACACATGCGTCTTGTGTGTAAACTGCTGTCTAGGGTTACATCTGAGTGAAAATTAGCTTTTCACATTTTTAATTCTACTGAGGAAGTTTTCGTGATTGGCTTAGCTTTCCTTTGCAGTGTAAATTATACATTAATGTAATTGTGGGGAAGCGCTGAACCCATAACGGCCGTACAGAGTGGAGAATGGGGAGGATTGCCGAAAATATCATCAATCACCGTCAACAATCATCACCGTCAACAATCACTGTTAACAATCACCGTCAACAATCAATTATCAACAATCATTACCGTCAACAATCATTACCGTCAACAATCATCACCGTCAATCATCACCGTCAACAATCACCGTCACTCAACAATCATTACCGTCAACACGCAATCACCATCAACGATCACCATCAACAATCATCACCGTCAACAATCACCGTCACTCAACAATCATTACCGTCAACACGCAATCACCGTCAACACGCAATCACCGTCAACAATCATCACCGTCAACAATCACCCTCAATCATTACCATCAATCATCACCGTCAACAATCATCACCATCACCGTCAACAATAATAAACAATCATCACCGTCAACAATCATCATCAGCTTCCCTAGAAGGTTGTACCAGAGGTGAAGGTGGTGAGCGTAACCATGTGTGTACACAAGGTCATGTGGGCGTGGAAGACAGCAGTCTATGACCAGTCATTCTGGCGATAAATACCCTCATTCCGCTGTTTAAAATAACTCTTTAACTTGGCTATATTCATTTTGCTAATTATTGGGGTATTGTAAATAACGTAGTGAGGTTTTTATGACTGTAAACTTAACACGGAACTCATTTTTATTGCTCTGAAGTAAATAGATTTGTAGACAGTTCATTAGCGTTGTAACCTCCTGACCAGGGGCTTTCTTCCCTTATATATTTACTGACCTTTTTTTTTTTTTTCTCGCCAGTTTTACAAGCTATGAGCTGTTATCCTATCTCGGCTCATTTCAAATCTCATTCCTATCTAGGGTATACCACCACCCCCAAGATGCCACTCACCCAGGTACCTATTAATGCTATGTGAACAGGGACAGTATGTGCAACGAAACATGCCCAGCGTTTTCACCCATGCAAGGGATCGAACCACAACACTCAGTATGTGAGCTGAGTGCGCTGCCAACCGCGCCATGGGCCAGTAAACCAAGATAAACAATACGATATTGTATATATGATCCTCAGTAACGTCTTCAGTCAAGAAATTTGCGGTACGTGGAAAAGGAGAGAAATTATCTCATGTGTCCAGGCAGGGTAACAGAAGCAACATAGATTATGCCTTAATGGGGGAGAAATCGGAATGGTGACCAGTTAAGAGTGGTGTGCCATAGGGTCAGTGTTGGGACCCTTGTTCACAATCTACATAAACGACATTGTCTCATTGGTATACTAATGCCAGTGAAGTGAAAATAAGCAATCAAATAACTTGTGGTGTGGATATAAGGTTACAGTAGGTTGACGTTGATGGGTTGTGATCGAAGAAGCAGATGCAGTTCAGTGCAGACAGGTGTAAAGTTCTAATCCTAGGAAAAGGAAATAACTATGGCACTTGTAAGCTTAACAATGTAAATCTTAGTCCAAGTGAATGCGAAAAAGATCCTGGAGTTCTGGTTAGCAGAAATTTCAAGCCGAAACAACAATGCATAAGTGTTCGCAACAAAGCTATTAGAATTCTGGGCTTCGTATCAAGAAGTATAACAGATCCTAAGGTTTTACTTCAGTTTTATATATCTTTGGTTAGTCTTCATTTAAATTATGCTGCTCAGTTCTGGTCTTCATATTACAGGATGACCATAATAACGCTCGAAAATGTACAGAAAAGGATGATGATGATTCCACGTATGAGAAACCGTTCCTGCGATAATAGGCTGAAGGTACTGAATTTGTGCTCTTTGGAAAGCCTAGAATTAGGGAAGATATAACTGAAGTGTATAAACAGAAAACAGGAATAAATAAAAGGGTCTAGTTGAGGTTGCAGGGATCGAGTCCAAGCTCCTGGCCCCGCCTCTTCACTGGTCGCTACTAGGTCACTCTCCCTGTGACTACAACTCGTAGGAAACGTATGGGGGAATAATGAAGATATCAAACTAAACTGGGCATGGATGACCCTGCCCTTACACCATTCCCTCGAGGGAAAGGTTGAGAGGGGAACCTTGATGCTGGTGAAGGGCTCTTGAGCTGCCCTCTCCCCGTCTCAGATCACCACTGATTACTTATCATTCCCCAGCTGCTGTGTGACCACTAAGAGTTCAGCACTTCTACACCAGGTTTCAAATTTTATGTTCCTTCGTGGTGCCGGGGTTGACGAATTTCTTGTTTGACCCCTGAGGGATTCTTACACAATATAGCCAGAGCCCCGGAGGGATTCTGACACAATATAACCAGAGCCCAACAGTAGGCTTTATTTTCATTGAGGTCCTTCAGTCCGGATGATGCGACTCTCAACAGCCGACTAATTCCCATAATTAACTGTTAGATGAACAGGAGTGGTAGGTGCAATAAGACCTACACATACTCGTACATCTTTCTCGCTCGGGAACCGAACTCGGGTATTACTCAAGAAATGTTTTATACTTGTTTCTCCAGAAAGTTGAAAAACTCTAAAGGTCAGTTTGGCTGGAATCAAAACCCTGCTATGATTACTTCGATTTTCGTATTGGACACACGTCTCACGGATATTTTCTGGAGAAGCGCCCAGCGGCATTGTGAGAGTGTCGAGTTCCATTTACAGTTTGCCATATACTAATAGACTGTTCAGTTTACCAGCGAGCACACAGAATTGATCTCCGGCGTCGTAACAGCTCTAACTTCCTTACTTTATCGCCCCACCTTTGACAGACTTCCTCTTTGACTGTTGGTCAGCGACAGCTTTATTACATACACCAACTTTGATTTTACTTACCATTTAGCACTCCTCACCGCCCTTAGTGATTCTGTGTCTGGCGTCCTCTTCACCGTCTCTGGTCTCTGATCCAGCATATACATCTTTAGTACATCCTTCCCTGCAGCGTCGTATGATCCTTGTGGGTTTAGCACTTAGTTTTGATTGTAATAGTAATCTACTTACAACCTGGACGCTGTTAATGATCTTCCATGCCCCTTATGGATATGGAAGCCAGATAATAAGGGTATGGGACTCGATCTCTAAACAGTTTAAAAAAAAAGTTTAGAATGAACTATCAGCTGTTCTGATCCTAGCTATCCACAGGTAAAGTAAAACCAAGCTATTGACATCTTTTGTCATACTTATACCTAATAAGACTAGTGATGATCATTTTAGGCTGGCGAAGGGGGTATGGGGATGTACTGGGCAATCCACTGTGGGGTCTGTAATCGTAAAAAGGTTAAGACCCCTGATTTGACCCCCTGTCTGGATATTGCTAATCTGGAAAACTAGTTCCATCTTTTGCATATCGATTAGTTCGTCAATAGTTGTAGATGGTTTATTATATTCACGGGGAAGTGCTAAATTTGTAAGGATCATACAGCGTCTGAGGAATGTGAGGTAATCAGCTTGAATCTGAGGAAGGGAAAGACAGCACATTTCCTCATGTCGTGAGCCTTTCATCAGCATCAAGGCAGCGCAAATGAGGCAATTTCCGAGTTGTCTGAATCCAACCTATGTTTCATCACAAATGCTTAAAACATGTTTTTTTTCCTCTCTCTCGTCAGGTAAGGAAATGGATGGACCCACAGACTGTAGTATATCTATTCCTGATATATCTGAAACCAAGCCAGAGTCGTTGAAACCAGAAATGCCGCCAGAGAGCAAACAACGATCAGAGATTGTATTGGTGCCCCATGAAGACTCTAATGACAATCTAATGTTATCAAAGGAATCCATCGAGGACACTAAGGGATTCGAGGAATTGGTTGGAGGACTTGATGGGTTGAAGGGAGCAGAAACTGAGTCTCCTAGGGCTGGAGAAGAGGCGAACGTCTCTCTCCCAGCGTCAGTGTGTGAAGCAGAGTCGAGGGAGATTTTGGTGGAACCTGGAGAGTGGGTACGGCCTCTGGGCAACCTGGAGGCCTTCATGGCTTTAGGAGGAACCTACGGCACCCTCAACACTGTACAAGGAGTCTGGCTCTCTTCCACACATCCCATCCTTCCTGAGGACGTCAGGTTCGCGCTCACTCAGGTCGCTCGGTGAGTACTCTTGAGCACCTGTGTGTATGTTGGTCTTGTGCACTGTGCATGTAGTGTGCTCACCTCAGAACCTAAGCTCTTGTTTTCGTGAGTGCGTGTGTGGGTGGGTGTTCATGTAATTTTGCACAGGGAATGCTGTGATGTAGTCCACTGTGCTTTTGAGGTCGCTAAGGGACACCTAATTTAACCAATTAAATGGTCACACCTTGCCTTGGCAAATAGCTGTCAGACACGCCTTTCGGCTTAAGTCTGAGGTCTTTTGTTCTTGACGGCGTCAGATCTCGGCGTCAGGTCAAAACACGTGGTGCACATCTCATTGTGGGGGGGGGATGCTTGAAGGACCATATAAGCTCAAGGAACAGCTAGAGAGATTTGAGCAGAGCTGCTACTGGTGTGCAGGGCTCGGGAGAAGGCTGCTGGAGTCTCTGGAGGAGACTGTTGGAGACATTGGGCAGAGTACTGGCTTGGAGCAGTACTCGGCTGCGTAGGTCTTGGGACCTGTGGCTAAAGTGTGTGACTTAGTTCCTGCGGTGAACTGTCCTCTGAAGAATATTTTAAGTTATATTCTATTTCTTCAGTTAATTGTATTCACTGTCTCACTGCTTATATGTACCAGCCCCATTTATCTAAACCCAATAATGTTCTCCTGTTCCCAAATATATTATTGTACAAGGACTTAATAATAAACTGTGTTTGAGTGGAGTACTAATATTCACTTCCCCGTTATGTATTTCTATTTCTTATACTTTATTTTGTTTATATGAGGTGGAGTGAGTGAAGAGTGGGCGAGTCATACAGTAGTGAGTAGTGTAGAGTTAATGAGAGTGCCATGGTGGTCACCACTGACTTGTCATACCTACCTACCTGCCTCCCGCTCACTTCTGTCTCTCTCCTACCTACTCCCTCCCGATTACTCCCTTTACTCACATATTCCCAATTATCGATACATTCCATTCCCCCCCCCCCCTACATGACTGCCAAAGCATTGTTTGTCAATAAATATATCCACTTGGGTTAGGTACACGAGTATGAATGGTTGGTTATGAAATGATCTGCCTTGCGTGGCTTCAGTGCTTCTTTTTTTCTTGTATCAGTGTGAGCCTGTGTGTACTAGGGTGGATAATATGTACTGATGGTGCTAAAGCTCTTGTCTCCCGACAGACAGACACATGTGCTGCAGTTGTGTGTTGTCAAACGGAGACTGTGGCCTTGGTTCCGGCGGATGAAACACCTCCTTGTTCCCTTCAAGGTAGAGCTGGACGATGTCATGACTGTCTACTACAAGATCCAGAAGTTGCCCTACAACATGGCTGAGGGACCACTGTGGAGGGCACGGTTGGTACCCCTACGTCCTCTGTCACCAACAGGTCGCTATGAAGCCGTCCTGGTCATCTCTGCTCACCACTGCATTACTGACGGTCTTACAAACATGGTGCTGTGTCGTGACACACTAGAGGTGCTCAACGCCATCATGAGCGGACGTCAGTACACTGTCACTCCCAGACTCGTCATTCCATTCCTTGCCGAGGAAGAAACCACCACACAAGATTGGTGGTATGCATTCAAGTACTTCTGCACCAAACTTTACGGTTCATTGTTTACAGACTATAGTAAGAAATTATACTTCAATGGAGCTCTGAAACAACCTGCAACCAAAGTTGCTCTCACGAAGATTTTGTGCGAGAGGTATACTGTGGAGGCAACGCAGCAGCTTTTCTCGCGGTGCAAAGAAGCTAAAGTTACTGTACATGCTTGTATCCTAGCAGTGGCTAGTCTGGCCATATTAAGGGTGGCGCAGCAGAACTCGCCGGAGAAGTTAGATTCTGCACTCATTAACGGAGTGAACTGCGTCAATATGCGTCGTTACTACCCTCGTGCTTACAAGGAGTCGCCTGGATGCCACATTTCCCTGGAAGAACGAGAAGTCCTCATCCATAGTAGCGACGCCAGCAGCAAGGAAAACTTCTGGCGTCTAGCAAAATTCATGCATGACGACCTGAAGAAGAGTCTCAACGTGGACAAGACCCCAATAAGAAACTGTCCATTCTTCCGGCCGTCCACCCTCATGCTGCACATCAACCACGGGTTAACACGTAAGGGCTACAGGCACCGCACTGACAGCCACTTCGTCACCACAAACATGGGGGACCTCTGGGACTTGCTACCGGGAAAATACGGTGACGGGCCGGTGGAGATTACCCACCTTCTGAGGTCTGTATCGAGCGAACTAACGGGTAACCCCTTCACCCTGGTTTTCCATACCTTCCTGCAGCACTTTATGATATCAGTGGACTACTACACCACCAAGGTGACTGATGAGGTTGCAGCACTCTTCTTCTCCACACTCACTAGCTACATCTCAAACATAGCCACCCACGGCACAGTCTTGGTAGACAATAACAAGGTCGACCACGACCCAGTTATGGAAGACAATAATAACATAGTAGCGTAGCAACCGCGCCGACAACACCGGTGCATAAAGAAGCAAATCTCATTTAGGAAATTGCCGCCATTTTCATTACATCTTACGTGGTAAAAATGGCAGGACTTTGATGAACCCTACAATATTTTTCTTGAAGGAAATAAAAAGGTTTCGATGCGCAAAATCTGAAGAGAAATTGCAAATTGTAATTCATAATCAAAATAGTTCAATGGGTGTAAAACTTTTAAGCTTTTTATTGAATAACATTAAGTCTAGAGCAAGTGTTTACCAAGAGACTGAAGCATAAGATTTTCTCTCTTCTTGTTTCAAAGATTGTTTTAATCCAATACAGGCTTGTACTTGTTTTGATCCTGTAGACAATTCCACGTTTGTTATTGTTTGTCAAGAGTATTAGTTATTGAAGTTAGAGTATTATTGAAGTTTACAGATTATTAATTTTAAAAACTTACTTTACAAAGTATTAGTTGTATAAGATTAATTTGCAAAGTATTAGCTTTAAAAGTTTCTTATATAAGTTCTACTTGTTATACGGAAATAAAGATAATTCTAACATTCCCCAATTTTCATATCCACAGTAAAAATGTCTGAATGTAACGGGCTTCCGGTGCATCATTATTTCTAAAGTTATTTTGTATGAGGATGGAGATAAATTGTATAAAATAACGACACGATGGAAAACGACACAAATGCATTATAATGCGATACTTTATTGAGTATGTTTGGCCCACACAGTGGAAATTATCAAGTCACAAACAAAGGTAGGTTCGCCAGAACGGATCCTGGTTCAGGTTTTCTCCATGCAGTTAGTTTAATATCTTCATTATGCACCACATACCCATCCTGTGGGTGGTAGTCAAAAGATTATAGAGGTACATAATGGGTCCAGGGACTGGACCCCAAAGTTATGATAGCTGAACCAGTTACAAAGGCAATGAACTCCATGTAGATCTGGTCAGTCATGGCAAGTTACAAAGAAAATGTGACCTGGACTTTCAGGTCAGTCTCAAATACAACCTGCCCAGTATTCTTCACAGGTAGATCTGTTTGTGACCTGATAAAGCCTACTGTGTGGGCGAAAAGTTGTAAAGGATTGCATTATACTGCATTTGTTTATTTTTTCCTTCTGCTGTTTCAACGCAGCATTTTGTTGAACTTCACCGACCGTGTCAGGATGACCCTAAACATTCACAATCATTAATTAAACCGCTGTCTTGCTAGAAAAGAAAACGTGTGCGTGTTTTATTTTTACGGTGAGCCCCTAACCCGTAGCGGTCTTGTGCCTTATCTGCATCACACACAACTGAGAGGAAATTATTCATGTTGGGAGGGTTCCGTGGAGATAAAACACACTTGTTGGGTTGTATTCACTATATTAGCAGAGTTGAGAGGGAGTGGCCCATGCTTCCTGTAGCCTCCTGTAAGTCTATCCATGCACTGAGAGGCAGAGCATCTGACGCTCACATGCGGTATCACGTGACGTCACACATGCTAGCCATTGGGCCTAGCTGAGCAGGGAGCCTAAATGTATACGTGGATGATACGATCTACGATATACTACTACACAAGCATATGTATAGGGAATTCAGTAGCTATACTGACATTCACACTTGTACGTATACGGAGCAGTAATACTGCAATCTAACTTGCACCTTCTTTTTTTTTTTGGCGTTTAAATCACCCTCTTCCTCCGATCAAATATGACTATCCCCCTACGGGTTTAGCGCCTCCATCGCTATGACTGCTGTTCGAGATAGTTAAGTTCCTTGATGTTGGTGAGGGG